GACACAATCAAATGCAAGTATTATTGTATAAATTCCCATGTGTTAGAATGGAATGCACACTCAATGGAGAGACACATCCTGATTATCTAAATCCGGGGAATATTGGATGCAGGCTGGCAAGAGACAAGGTTTGGGGACCCCAGAATGTGCATTTGGGTACTGTTGGAGTTTAACCAGCTAAAACCCCTTAGTGGGCCATTGTTTGATAAGCTTCCCCACTGCTTGTTCAGCTAGGACCACCCTACCCATTAGAACAATGGTGACCAATCTTTTTGGTTGACCAACTAAATACATTTTTTTAATTCTTGAATCATGGCCACACCATAAATATCACTACTTAGTAGCTGCTGGAAACAAAATATTGAATAACACGTGCAAATCTTTAGTGGGCCACTTTTTGATGACTCCATGAACACTTTCAAGCCGCTATTGGGCCATGGGTTGCCCATCACTATATTAGGCTTTGGCAGAGTTAACCTGAGCTGAGTGGGAAGAACCCCTATTCTTTGTGACTTGTCTGCCCCTTCAAGTTCTATCGATGAGGCTGGCTGGGCTGTCATTAGCAGTGCCTTGGAGGTGGACTGCAGACTTTCATGGCGCAGGAACTAGACTTCTGAGACTGCCACAAGACTGCCACAGAGGATTGGCTAAATTCTGACATTCTGTTGGCAAGCATGTCACCTTAGAGCAGTTTAGCCCTGAACCTGCACTTACCCCCACCCCCCAAGAGTGGAGGTTGTTTCCACAAAAGAATGCACAATACTTAAATTCATCAAAACTAAGATGTAACAGTAATTATAATGTTAAATACATCAATATTTAACTTGGAAATTGAAAAGGATACTTAAGAATTTAGACGTTTCAGAGTTTCCTTTTCACACAGAGTTGCTGGGATGTGGAATGTTCTGCCAAGTAGAGTGGTAGAGGCAGAGTTTGTGAGTTTCAAGAGGGAAGTAGACAGTTGTATGGAAGAGGAAAGCTTGAGGGGATAAGGCAGGTTTGGTCCAGACGATGGGGTGAATGGAAATTTCTGTGACTGGTTCATAGACGGTGTGTTTTGTAAAATGCTTATGTTGAGTGTACTTGTCCTAATGGTGCCCTAACTTTATTTTTGTTTGATATCTTGCATGTTAAAATGAGTATTTATCTTGCAAAATAATACTACAAGTATTTGTACAATAAGTACTTTTTAAAAAAAAAATCCAAGTTAGGGATCTCCTTACTGCTCCATCCTAGAGTCCCTCTGACTCACTTGCTCCTTCCTCTCTTTCAAGGCAGTCTCAAACCATATCTATTTGACCACGCTTTCAGCCGTCTTTCAGCTCCCCACCCCTCCGTGGCTCGATACTCACCCAGTTCAGGTGCCCTACCAGACTGAATACAATTTGGGGTCTCCTCCTGACGTGAAAGGGGCTATATAACGTAAATTGTATTGTGAAGTTTGTGGAGGGGGCGATGGGTTTGAGATCAAAATCTACGTGCATGGTATAAATTTGCTTTTTATATTAATTTGTTTACACTTGAACTTACATCATGGAATAATTTTGCAAAAGAACAAGCGTAGCAAATTACATGTCAGTTTAAGCGATAAACCAGGTTTATCTGTCTCCACTTTTCATTTCATAGGAATCCTATTATCTTGGCTTACACATTACTTTTTGTTCTGTATGTCACTTCTGGTAAAGTTGTTACACTGAAGGGAACATAAAGTTCCAGGTTAGTGTGTTGTGATTTTCAATTTAATATGTGATGATCCTTCTTAATATTGAGGCTTATTAATTTTAACTCCTCCTGGACCAACAAACAAAATTCCAAACCTTGACATTTGCCAACCTGTGCCTAATATTTTCTGGCTTCAACTCTTAATTCTTGCTTGGACCTCTTGAATGGGACAATGGGTTCAAATTGGTAGTTTAGAGAAATGCCAAAATCTCACTACTAGAATGAAGAATTATGAATTTAACCTGATTTTTAAGTATCTTTTCAGTGATCTGGTGAGTGCTGACTGTATTATTGTTGTTGTGGTTCAGGTTCTTGTGATGTTCTGCAGGCATACATCAAATATACCATTTGCCACTCATTCACTTTGGATTGAACCCATCAGAACTCTCATGCCTCTATACAAATCGTACCAGTTAGAAATTCCCAGCCCCTTTCTTTGAAAGTGAGAAATTTGATTTACTGCAAACACATTGTTTGAAGAAACTATTTGTCTCACTCTTCAGAAGTCCTAGAATCGTAGACATTTACAGCAGGAAAAAGACCATTTAGCCCATTGAAGCTCTCAGAGCAAGCTGTACTTTCAATCTGACTGCCCTACCCTATCCCCATACCCTTTTAATAATAATCCTTGCATTTGATATAGCACCTTATCACATCTTCGAGACGTCTCAAAGCGTTTCATAGAATATACTGTAAAGTGAATTGACTGTATATTTTGTGGGCGAAACGTGGCAGACAATTGCAGACAGCAGTGTCCCACAAACAGTCGTGGATTGAGTGATTTTTTTAAATTTTAAGCCTCTAACTTTCATACTAAAATATGTTTAAACATTTCATCCAAAGCATGGCGTCTCCAACAATGCACTGCTCCCTCAGCACCAATTGTAGTGTCAGCCTTGGCTCTGAGCTCAAAGTCTGTGAGGGGTTTTAATCCCAAACTTTCTGACTCAGAGGCGAATTCTACAATGGACATGATCTCAGCTGGGTTAGCAGTACACAAGTGCTACAGTAGGCATCATTGCCCTCCCCAGATTATGATACAGGATGGTGGAGGGGACAAAATTGAAGTCAGTATTTCAGTGACATATCTTGAAGAAGTACATATCTTCAATCTGCAAATATCAAATTAGGAGCAGGTGAGGGTTGCTTGTCATGCCTGCCCCTATCTGATTGAATCGCCTGCTGGCTCACACATTTACAGTGAATATATGTTCAGAATCAAGGATAAGCTGCTAGATTTTGTGGATGTGAAAAATTACAAGTGAGGAATTGTTCTAAACATGCTGGTTCAGTTGGTTTAAAAACCACTGTCGTGGGTTAAACCTGAGATAGGGAACAAAATCAGCATTTGTGTTCCTGATACAGTGACCTGCTGAAAGGTGCATGTTGGGTGAGTTCAGGGTTACCATACAATTAACACTTATACAGCACCTTTCATTTGGGAGTATGTTTTGAATACTTCACAGTGCGCACCCGATGGGGGAGGGGAAAGATGACCAAAGGCATGGCAGAAGAGGTGTTTTCATACGTGCCTTGGAAGTGGGTAGGGAGGGTGCAAGGAGGGTCGGGCTTCACTCTGAGGCATCTAAGGTCAAGTAACCAGCTGACTCATTGTCAACACTGACATGTGTGACCAAGATTAGTCTGTGCCTTTGGGCAAAGCAGCAGGAAATAATATTTTCCTTTTAACAAATTGCAATTTATGGAGCCAGAGTACATAGCCTACTGCTCCTAGTTCCACATGCTGAAATCCTTGTTGCTTACTGCAGTGCATATCTCTTTTTGATAGAAAACATAGCATTTGAATTAGGTTTGTAAACCTCAAAGTTGATACTTAAAATATGTTGGATTTGTTTGCATTAAATATTTTTTTCAGTCAAATATATTTTTATTGATCATGTAGTCTGGAATTTATACTGAATAGTACGTCATCTTGGCTCGGTGGTACCAGTCTTGCCTCTGAGTCAACTGGTTGTGAGTTCAACTCTCACATGACAACTTGAACTCACATCTTTAACGTCCACCTGAACAGGACCTTGGTTTAACATCTTATCCAAAGGATGGCACCTCCAACAGTGCAACACTCCCCAGTAGTACATTGGAGTGTCAGTTCCATGGCTGTTTGTGGGACACTCCAATGCAGTGCTGGGAGGGGTTGCACTGTTGTAGGTGCCATCCTTTGGATGAGACTTTAAACCAAGGTCCTGTTCAAATGGATGTTGAAGATCCCTTGGCTCTATTCGAAAAAAAAAACAACAACTTGCACTTATATACCGCCCTCCACGCAGCGTAGTGTCTCAGAGCATTTAAGGAGAAGGGAGTTTCTCCTGGTGTCCTGGCCTACAATCCCCCAAATAAAGTTGGTCACTCACTTCATGGCTGTTTGTGGGATATTGTCGTGTACAATAGTGCTGCCGTGTTTGCCTACAAATACCCAGTCACTCTATTACACAATATATCCTGTGAAGTGCTTTGAGACGTCCTTCTGATGTCCTATATCAAATTCAAGGATTATTATTATTGTTAAATCTCCTGCGTCCAATCTTCTGCAGCTGCAGCATAAGACAATCACTTAATCTGAGATTTCTATTCTACTGTGATGTGAGTGAATGCCTTGTGCCACAGGAAACATCCTGCTGCAAAACTGAGTGAATTCCCTCTCAGTCTTTGCAGCTGTTATTGGAAAGACTTGTGTTTTGTGGAGCCTATGTGCAATATGGACAGGAAAATTTGTTTGCTGTTTGGTTCTGGTGTTTATTCTATGAAAGCAAAAGGATAATCAGCACCAAACTGTGTTTCAAAGCAGCAGCCCAGCTGCTGGAGTGACAGGATACTTCTAATCAAATTGAATGGAATTTAGGGAGGGGAGAATCTTAGTCTGTTTTGATCTCCTGGGGATAATGTGTCCTCATGGACTATAATCTGTTTCTATGGGAACAGGAACTACTGATGCATAATGTTTTTATCTTCTATTTTTAAACTAATTCTGCAGACTGTAATTAATCTTTTTTTTTTACCTACTCTTTTCCTTCCAGGAGAACAATTGCACTGTTCAAAACTTCTCTTGGGAAGCTGAAATCTCAGTACGTCTCCAATCTAGTTTAATGGATTTTTTTAATTTAAAAAAAATGCTGACCACTATGAAAGCCATTCACACAATTGAGAGATTGACAGATAATATCAGTGAGAAGTGTTTCTTGCCTTGTGTAGAGAGCCCGTCTGGTTTGCTTGGTCACAAGCCTTGCAGAAGTGCAAACTGTACTGAGCATGTCCCAGAGGAGGGGACCACATTATGCAAACAGACTGCTCCTGCAGATGGGAACATTCTAAGCAACGAGCAGGCGTTTGTTTCCCTTGCATCTCCGAGAGAGAAGCCTGCCGGTTTACTGAATAACTTGTCAGCCTGCAATGTCAAGAAGGCTGAAGATGGATTGAGAGCGAGAAGATCTTGGCTGTTTGGTAAGACTGCCAGCATGGGGAACCAGGACGGGAAGCTGAAAAAGACTGGAGGAGATGGGCAGGATTGTGCTGAGGATGCTGGGCCCAGGGATGCTGACGGCACAAAGAGAGGTCCAGGAGGTAAGAAAACACACTCAAAGCATGGGAAAGGAAACGAAGGAAACAAAAAGAAGAAATCTGAATCGTCGCGAGCGTCTGTGTTTTCTATCCGAAAGAGAAAACATCCGTCACGAGGTAAAAATAACACGAGTGGGTCCAAAGAAGATGTACTAGAAAACCAGGCCTTACAGACTGAGGAACTAGACAGTGTCCATTCAATTACTAAAACTCCAGATATAAGCATTTCTGCGGATGAAGGTCTGACTGATACTGAAGCTGACAATTTTGACCTGACGAGCAGCATTCGCCCAGCAGCTGCAGAGCTCCAGGACAAACAAAGGGCTAGCTCTGGCTCGGATACAGATATTTACAGCTTTCATTCAGCCACAGAACATGAGGATTTGCTATCTGATATTCAGCATGCTATTAGGCTGCAGCAGGGGTCATTTAATGCAGCTGCTAAGGAACTGCAAATACAAGAAAGAGAAAATGGAAATACCCTGCCACTAATTGAGCAATATGTAATCCTTGAAGCCTTCGGTAACAAAAAAATCAGCCTCGATACAGAACATATCTCCTCAAAGGCCGATGAAATAGGAAAGTCTAATGACGTTGAAGGCCAGTATGAAGCGAGTGAGGTAGGGACTAATACTGAGGCATCTTGTAGCACTTTACAATTACCTAAATCTCACAACAGATTTGGTAAAACTGCAGTGGAAAATGAGAGGCTGGTTCCCATAGAAACTCCTGCTGAGCACAGCTCAGAGCTGGGCAACAGTTCAGAGAATGCTAATTTGACAGTGACACAAAATGGATTTGCGTTTTTCTCGGACATTGAAACAACTCTTGAAAAGGTGCCTCTTTGCTTTGACGGAGAATTGACAGATGATGCTGATCAGATATGTGTTGGCAAGCAGCACAGTGTTAATGCTGAAGAAACATTACTAACAGATAGCCAAACACAAGATTCAGAAGTATTTTTTGATGCACCTGGTTCTCTAGCCAAAAAAGATGCACCGAGTGTTACTGAATGGAAAGGAGAAACTCCTGTAAGCGTACACAAATCCTGTTGGCCCTTTCGTACAGGAACGTCCACTACTGTCAGGCCATATCCTCCAGTTAGTGCAATCTTTGTTAGAACAACCACCAGGCAGTTGAGCTCTTCAAGTAATTCACCTTCAGTTTCTCCATCCCAGAGCCCTCTGATTCAGAGGAGACGACCTGCAGCTGAACAAAAAAGGGGCAAGGAACAATACAAAAAGCCGAGATCGTACAGTGTGAAGGGCTTGCTCACTCGATCAGCTGACTGGACGGAGGAACTCAAATGGCAAAAAAGAAGCCGTATTAAAAGGGCAGGGTCTGTTGATAATTTAGAATGTGTACGATATCCAGAAATTATACCACTTGGAGATAAAAGAGCTTCCATATCGAGCAGTGGCTTTCCTGAGATCTTCATGGGTGAGTGTGACATTTACCTATGTTGTCTGTTACCTAAGTCCCAATGAAGACTGAAGTTGTTTGACTTATTTTTTTCCCCCACATGGGTCAGGATGGGGAATGTGTTTGTGGAGAGGAGGAGGAGGAAGGATATGCAATACATTTACAGAAAATGTAACTGAAACGCCAGCAGCGGTCTCTGAAGTGAGCTTTTAAAGTTGGTATGATTGTTTTTTGGCAGAGTTGATAATGGGTTAACCCTAAACTGTCTTCTGGTTGCATGAATAGTTTAATTGGTAACCGATACTATGAATCAAACCTGGTTCATCAGTGTAATTTGATCCTTAGTATTCATTGTACTGTTCTAAACAAACCTTTGCATCAAGTTGTACAGATTACAAAAGCAAAACGACTTGAGCGCTAAAACAATTCAACATTCACTTCTGAGCAGTTTGTTTTTCCCATATGTTGAATCTAAAGGGTGAAATTTGGAGTTGTTTCTTGATCCATTTCTTGCATCTATCAGCGCAGGAATGAATTTAGCAATAACTGCTCATTGCTTCCTAATCTTCATTTAGCATCAGTGTTTTACTGAATGCTGCTTCTGACCTCTGTTTCTCCTGATCAGCTGGCTATTTGCCTGGGGTGTGCATGGGCGGGGTGGAGAAGACCCGCAGAAAACTGACTATTAATAATAATTATAGATTAATAATGCATGCATTTGAGCTCTGCCATTGTTAAGAGGCACTAGCCTGTTGAAGGGCACTATAGAAATGCAAGTTGCTATACAGTCAGTTGCCTAGTGCATGCCATTGGGTTGTAAATTCATATAAGGTGTTTTCGCTCTGAATAAAGTCCTTGTTTGAAACCATGATCACATTCTAATAGTCTACATCAAGAAATTTGGCTGCAAAACGTTGGTTTCTTGTTGGTGGTTCTCTAACCAGAACGAATAACTATGAGGATAAAATGCCAGAAGGGCAGGTAATTCACAGGGATCAGAGGGAACTAGTTAAGGAATGCTGGTGCTAATTAAGGAAAGGAAATAATTGTTGAGTATACATGAATTTATTTTCTTCATTGATCTAGTGAGCTCAAGTTAAGGTACCAAAAATGTTACCCTTCCTAGAATCTTCAGGAACAATTTACCTTGGCAATGAAGGGATGTGGCAATTCATGGACACACTCATGTCAGCATGAAACTTCACAGTGGAAAGTTTGCAGTATGTATTCATGTCTGTCCTTTATCAAATTTTAATCCATTAAATGTTTGCACTGATCGTTGGCAGGATTTTATTTTGCAGTAAAGGGTTGTTACTGTGAGCATTTGGAGTAGTGTGTACAGTTCTGTTTGCCATATCATATGAAGAATATTATAGCATTACAGCATAGATTTATACAGGTGTTATCTGGGATGAGTGGATACATCTAGCAAAGAATGAGATTGCAGCTTTTCTCCCGTGAGTTGGAATGATTAAGAGAGTTATAGAGGTGTTTAACGATTATGAAAAGATTTGAAAAGATGAATGGTGATGGGTTGGTTCCACTAGTTGAATCCCAAATTAAAGGATGCAAGATAGCTTAGGGTAGATCTAATGGGGAGTTCAAAAGGAAATGCTAGGGCGGTGACAATGTGGAATTGATGCTGGAAACTGGTTAAAGCAAATAGCATCAATGTATCTAAGAGAGAATTTGACGCATACTTGAGGATGATGGGAATAGAGAAGTATAAGATGGGCTTGTGTGGAGGACAAACGCCAGTGTGATGCTGGATCATATGGCCTGCTTCTGTGCTGTATCACTTTAACTCTGTGTAGTGTGTTTGTTGTTTACTACCAGCAAGAAGGAGGCCTCTTGTGTTGAGCCCATCTGTGAAAGTCGTGTTGAGTTACAGCAAGAAATATTCAGTACTCAAACAATTCTTGCTGGAGGGACCCTCTAATTTTTTTAAAAAGTGTTTAGTGCTGTTAATTGTATAGTACGTGTGGGATACACTACATATCACTGTCTCTAAATATGAAAAGTGCCCTCTGAAATCCATAAAAAGTTTTTTTTTAGGACTGTATTGCTGGATGCGAGTCTGTCTGGTCATTTGTTTCGTCCGTGTATAAACTAGTAGAAAGAATAGCCTCATCTCCTAGAATCATACAGCACAAAAAGAGGCCATTCAGCCCATTGTGTTTGCGCCGGTTCCGAAAAGAGCAATCCAACTCAATCCCACTGGCCCACTTTCTCTCCATAGCCCTGCAATCTTGTCCTCCCCAAATACCATGTACTTCTCTCTTAAAAGTTGTTATTGAATTGGCTTCCACTACCCTTTCAGGTAATGCATTCCAGATCCGAACAACTCGCTGGGTGAAATTTTTTTTCCTAACCTCCCCTCTGTTTCTTTTAACAACTATCTTAAATCGGTGTCCTTGGGTTACTGACCCACATGCCAGTGGAAACAGTTTTTCCCGGTTCAACCTATCAAATCCTCTCATGATCTTGAAAACCTCTATTAAATCCCTTCTTAATCGTCTCTGCTCTAGGGAGAGTAATCCTAGTTTCGCTAACCTCTCCTCATAACTAACGTCTTTCATTCCTGGTACCATCCTGGTAAACCTCCTTTGCACCCTCTCCAATGCCCTGACACCTTTCCTAAAGTGTGGTGCCCAGAACTGAATGCAGTATTCCAACTGAGGCCCAACCAGCATTTTATAAATATTCAATATAACCTCCTGACTTTTGAATTCTATGCCCCTATTATAAAACCTAGTATCCCATATGCTTTGTTAACAGCTTTATCTACCTGTCTGCCACCTTTAACGATTTGCTTATGTGGACCCTCAGGTCTCACTGTTCATTTGCCCCCTTTAAGATTGTACCATCAGCTTATGCTGCCTCTCCTCACTCTTCCTACCAAAATGCAACACTTTGCATTTCTCCACATTAAACCTCATCTGCCACGTTTCTGCCCATTTTATCAATCTGTCTAAGTCCTTCTGGAGTCTGGTGCTATCCTCCTCACCATTAACTACTTTTCCTAGCTTAGTCTCGTCTGCAAATTTGGAAATTGTGCTCCTATATCCAGGTCCAGATCATTAACATAGATCAGAAGAGCAGTGGTCCCAATATCGACCCTTGAGGGACACCACCACCTCCCTCCAGTCTGAAAAGCAACCGTTTACTACCACTCTCTAGTTTCTGACTCCTAGCCAGTTCTGGATCCATGTTGCCATAGTCCCTTTAATACTGTGGGCTTCTATTTTGTTTATAAGTCTCTTATGTGGCACTTTGTCAAATGCCTTTTGAAAATCTAGATAAACTACGTCTACTGCACTACCTTCATCCACCCTCAGTCACTTCATCAAAAAATTCTATTAGGTTTGTCAGACATGATCTGCCTTTAACAAATCCATGTTGACTGTCCTTTATAAAACCATATTTTTCTAAGTGAGAATTTATATTGTCCCAGATTATAGTCTCCAGAAGTTTCCCTGCTACTGATGTTAGGCTGATTGGCCTGTAGTTCTCAGGTTTATCCTTCTCATTCTCTTTGAGAATCACACCCATTCTCTTTTTGAACCCCTTCCGTCAGGTTTCCGTGCTGCTCATAGCACAGAAACTGCCCTGGTCAAGGTCACCAATGACATCCTGACCATCTGTGACCAGGGCTCCCTCTGTCTCCTCGTCCTCCTCGACCTATCGGCAGCATTCGATACGGTCGACCACGCTATCCTACTCCACCGCTTGTCCTCCCACCTCAACCTTCAAGGCACTGTCCTTGAATGGTTTAGCTCTTACCTTTCCCACCGTCTTCATTTCGTCTCAACGAATGGCTTCTCCTCCACCCCCCGTACTGTCTCATGTGGTGTCCCTCAGGGCTCTGTCCTCGGTCCCCTCCTCTTCACCCTCTATATGCTCCCCCTTGGTGACATCATCCGCAAACATGGGGTTAACTTCCACATGTATGCGGATGACACCCAACTCTACCTTTCCTCCTCTACTCTCAACTCCACGACCACCGATGTCCTGACAGCCTGCCTGTCCGACATCGAGTCCTGGACGAGAGACAACTTTCTTCAGCTCAACGTGCAAAAAACCGAGGCCCTCCTGATTGGCTCACGTCAGCGCCTCCGCACCTCAGGCGCTGACACCATCAGCATCCAAGGCTGCACTCTCCACCTCTCAAAGCCAGTCAGGAACCTCGGCGTTTTGTTCGACCCTGAGCTGTCCTTTCTCCCTCACATCCGCACCACAACTGGCACCGCCTTCCATCACCTCCGGAATATCGCCAGATTACGGCACTACCTCACCCCTCACGCTGCTGAAACCCTGGTTCACGCCTTTGTCACCTCAAGGCTGGACTATGGGAACTCTCTCCTCGCCGGCCTTCCCGCCACCTCCCTCCACAAGCTGCAGGTCATTCAGAACTCTGCAGCTCGTGTACTGTCCCGCACCAGGCTTCGGGACCACATCACTCCCACCCTCGCTCGCCTCCACTGGCTCCCCATCCCCCAGAGGATTGATTTCAAGATCCTCATCCTCACCTACAAGGCCATTCACGGCCTTGCTCCCTCCTACCTCTCCAACCTACTATCCCCCTACCTACCTGCCCGTACCCTCCGTTCCTCTGGCTCCGGTCTGCTCCACGTCCCCCGCCCCAACCGCCCTACTATCGGTGGTCGGGCCTTCAGCCTCTCAGCCCCGAGGCTCTGGAACTCCATCCCCCAGTGCCTTCGCCTTGCTTCCTCCCTTTCCTCCTTCAAGGCCGGTCTCAAAACCTTTCTCTTTGACCGTGCCTTCAGCTCCCCTCTCGACTCTCTTCCTCCTCCTCGCTCCCTCCCTTCCCTCCCCTCACCCTGACCATTTCCCCTCCTCTCTCCCTCCCTTCCCTCCCCTCACCCTGACCATTTCCCCCCTGCTCGGGTCATGACCCAACTGTGCAGCGCCTTGGGACGTCCTCCTGACGTGAAAGGCGCTCTATAAATGGAATCTTGTTGTTGTTGTTGTTGTTGTTCTCCCCGTTTTTGTCGTGA